ATAAAAACTTGAAGAAATATAATGAATTGATTGAATTCAGGAAAAAATGGATTAAAAAGACAGAAAATCCAAGAAATAAAACGAATAAATTATAAGGTGCCCAAGGAAGAAGAGACTCACATAAAAATTTGATAGACATACAAGAGAGGCAGGAAAATAAATAGGAGAATAAGGTAAAAAGAAAGTAAAAATGGTTAGAGACAAAGTAATGGAAATGGAAAAAAGGCAAAGAATAATACACACACACACACAAAAAAGAAAACTACAAATCAATATCCTCTTAATATTGACGCAAAAATTTCAAATAAATTAAGAATCTAATACCACATTAAGGAATAAACCATCACCAAGCATGATTTATTTCAGGAATGCAAGGTTTGTTCAATATTAGGAAATGTATTAAGATCATATACTATCTCAATTGTGCTAAAGAAGAGAATCACAAGGTTATCTACATTGATACTGAAAAAGTCTATGTATGACAAAATAAAAACACTCAAAAATAAGAATTGAGAAATACTTTCTCAACATGATCCAATTTATATATAGACTTGTTATATCTATATAGACATATAAACACATATACACATGCATATATACTTCATATGCACATACATACATGTATATATACTTCATATGTATATTGAGCTACACTTCATGTAAGAAAGAAGAGGACATGAGAAATATACATGCACCTGCTAATTTATGCAAAAAAGCAAGTATTATTCTAGTGTTAAACAAAATGGTTACTTATGGGGGATGGTATAGAAAAGTTGTAGAAAGAACAGAGAAATGAAAAAGGAATGGTGAGGATGAGAAGAAAGTGACACTTCTCAGAGGATACTCAGGTATAGCTCTGACTCTTAGGACCCATGGTCTGCCGGTCCGTTTAGCATAGAGGCCAATGATCAGATTTTCTTCAGGTTGGACACAGGAGGCCGGCAGAGATACAGTGCTCATCATTCCTTACTTTGGTGCTTTTTACACTCACTATACTGCTTCACTTATAAAACAGCACATATTTCATTGCCTATATTTTTCAATCGTAAACTAACTAACACCCCATTTAGAGTAATGGTTAAAAGCAAAGTCAATTTTAAGTATCAAATAGATCATTTTATTTCTAACCTGTGAATTATGAGTTTACAGTAACCATTCCCTTTTTTTGACACCCATGGGGTCCTCCAGGCACTTTTTACCATTCTGGACAAATTAGTTCTTAACTGGTTGAGTTTATACAGGGGTTAATTATCTCCTCAGCAAATTGTCTGTCTCTCTTAGCACCAACTGCTCTTAATTACGTTCAGTTTGTGATGAGATAACAGGAGAAGAACAAGGGAAAGACTGGGAACCCTGGTACCCTGCATTTCATCTTTTCAGTGAGTGAAGTAGAGTTACTCAAGTAATTACTAAGTCGGTTCAGAAGTCTTCTCTTTTCACTGAGCACCGCTTACATTTTGCTGTATTTGCTACAAGAACATGTGATAGCCACAAGCCACGTGTCCTGATTATCTTGGTGTGACTCTATTTAAAAAAGTTTGTACATTTTAATTTAAGTTGCTAATGTTACTTAGCCTTGTTTCCTTCATATAGGTTGAATTTGAATTCTGACTCCTGCTTACTGACTTCAGGCAAATCTTTCAGAGTATTGGTCTTTCTATTTGAGAAGTGGAATAATAATTACTGCATATAATGAAACCTAAGCCACAGTGCCAGTTACTAGTAACATTCAGCAAATTTTAGCTTTATCAATTTTTTTAAAAATTTAATCTTCCTTCTGTAATCAGTACAAGCTCATTTTCTATCATTACTTTAAAAATAACACAGAACTGTGTTTCCTAAGGTCATTTTTTTAGTCAAGGTTTGTGATTGTAAGCGACAGAAACTAACTGTGGCTGATTCAAGGAAATTATTTAACTAAAGGATGCTGATAGATCACAAGATCTCCAGAAAGGCTTGAGAACTGGGTATGGAGGCCACATCATCTGGAAAAATGCTCCAAACTAAGCCCCAGAACTATCTTGGGTCACCCCCACTGCAGCTGCTGTGGGCACAGGTAGGAGACAGTTCATCCTGTTCCTCTGATACTGGAGCCAGGATGATGCCTCCAAACCACAGGGCCCATGGTCTCTGCCTGTGGCCATGCTAGGGTTGAGAACTTGCCGTCCATGATTCTGCACGTCACCAGCCTCTGAATTATGCTCATCAGATTGGACAAGTTTATGTCTTGTGTCTGTGGATGGGAAAACGTCTCTCAGTTGTTCTCTTCTTCAAGGGGCAGTTGAATCTGGTTTATACCATGGGAGTCCCCCTAAATAGAAAGGGGTTCAGATACTGGTTGATCAAGAAATGACAAATGTGCACCACAGAATTTGAGGAGATGCAGTAAGCATTGCACGAGAACATGAAGATAAGTCCCATGAGCAGATAAATTGGGGAAATGCTCTTTATCCTTCTTTCTCATTCCCTAACCCACCCTCTCATTCTTTACCTTCACCTCACATAAACCTTCTCATCCTTTGGGCAACTTCTCTCTCTCTCTCTCTCTCATATGTACATGAAATGTTAGCAAGAGGTAATGACATTAGGCTAAGGATAATCTTGAATCCTCTGTAATTTATTAAGGGAAAAAGTGAAATCAGTTCTAAAGTTTGGTATGTATTGTTATTAGCAAATATATTAGACTACAGTTGATGCTGATACATTATTATAAGTCATGATACCATGACTAAAGCATGTTTTAGCACAAGTAGTATCAGAAAAACATTTCTTCTCAAAATGTGCAGGTTTTGAGCTTGCCTTATGAACAACATTAACACTCAGCCAACCCCCCAGTGGGTTTTGCTGTGTCCTCGTTCCTCTCTTTCCTTCCTTTCTTTACTTTCTGTTGAGTACAACAGGTTTTGCTATTACTAGTTTTACTTTGTCGTGGTGTCCACTTAAGCTTCCAGTGTCTTGCCATATAATCTGCAATCAATTCTAAATAATCACAAATTTAAATACAAATTTGTAACCAGCCAACATTAATTGCTGCTTTCCTCAGTTACAATGCTTCCCAAAGAATTAAGTCCATAGGCTAGTTAATGTACATTGCTTTCAATTTTATCTGACTATTCAATTACAAATCATTTTGTGGTGCCTGGTAGTGCTGATTTGCAAGTTGTGCTATTACCTTATTGAGCTTTTATCCTGTTAACGACCCTACTGCCACAATCCTCACATCATTCAATAGAAATTAGCTGTGGCTCCATGCCTCACTAATGGAGTAGTGTATGTGTTTGTGTGTGTGTGTGTGTCTGTGTTTGCATGTGTGTATGTTTCTCTTCAGTAAACCCCCCCAAAACCAAAAAAAAACCCCCAAAACTACTGCTTTGTTAACAGCCCAAGTGTCTCTTAATGATCAAGTGGAGGGTATTGCTAGAAACTGACTAGTGCCTTTAATGCCCTGGGGGAAATTCTACTGTACTATATCTGTCATTGTCCCTCACCTCTAGAAAGATAAAGACATTTATCTAAATTTAGCGTAGAATTCCCATGAGTGTTCCTATCTCCAATTTGGCCCAGTTTCTTCCATTTTTTTGACTTATAACCCCTGAAATAGTTCAGATTTCTCCTTCTGACTGGAATAGTTCTTCACATCTCATTTTGAGCCCCCATTACCAGTCCCTTTCTTCCTCAGGACTCTGCCTTGGGTTGTGGATGAAATGGACCCCAAATAGAGCAACCCCACTACTGTCGTAGGGCACCCCAGGACTCTGCCTGTCCCCAGTTTTTATTATCCCTGGTAGGCGAGATACCTGTCAAGACACCTCTCATTCCACTGATAGCGCTGATCTTGAGAAATTTGAAATGCATCACTTCTATCTTTTCTCATCTTCCTTTTGACAGTGTTTCCAAAGTACAAGAAATGAATAAAAGGGAATCAACAGGAGAGAAGAAAATGAAAGTTGCTTGTAATCCTTAGGCTACATATTTCAAGTTTCAAATAAGCAAAGGATGGCCTAGATGCATATTTTTAAACCTTAAATTGTTCCTATTTGCTTTTAACACTTTAAAATTTATTACATTTCAATATGTCAGGCACAGTGCTAGGTTATATTTGAGTATACAACATAATATAATGTAATACATTGCAGTGTAATTTAATATAATATATATGATATTATGAATAACATATAAATAGACACACATATACTTTACTTCTTATAACAACCCTATGGTATAAAGATTATGGGAAATAGTAACTATCTAGTTCAAGGCAATCAATTTGCCTATCTGAAAAATTGGTTTCTAATTTGCATTTGATATTTGTGTCTGAATTACTCCTATAGATTTTATTCTTCAAGATCCCCTAAAGGAATTAAATAATGTTAGGTGACCTACTAGAATGGTAGTTCTGCTTCTAGTAGCAGAAAATTGGGCTAGAATCCTCTGGAGACTTGCTAGCAAAATTAGCAGCAGAGGGTATAAAAGCAGCAATTAATTCTGCTAGAAAATGAACAGAAGGGAAGGCACTAATCTTATTAGCAGCTATGTCATTAGTCAAAACAGCAAGAATGTAGGAATGAAGCTTTGAAGGCTATTTTCTTTTTAAAAGTCCTTATTTCTTTTCTTATTTCAAGACCAATGGCAGGATAAAGGGTAATGGTAGCAAATGAAATTTAACAGAGGTGAAAAAGCAGAGTTGTATGATTGTTCTGTCACATAATTCAGCAAGAACTGGACATGGCTCGAGAGTAACTTCAGGCACGCACAGCACTGACTGCCCAGGTGCCACGAGCAGTTGTCACTGTGTTCAAAGTACACTGAAAGCGTTCCAAGAATAGTCCCTCTGTGTAGGGTTAGGCTGAGTGGGTAGGCTAATTGGATTCAGATATGCAGGGCATGCCCCATGCTCAGGTATTCCTCAGAGAAGACCGTCTGCCTGGGGCTGGCCCAGCCCACAGCCCAGAAGCCATGAGGACGGGCCACATCTGTGGGGATGTGTTCTGTTCACTGACCTCTATCCATGGAGGTATTATTATCATTATTTGGTACGTGGCCCAGCAGGTCGGGTGGGGTGGGTTCTTCATTTCTCCTTTAATTCAGTGTAGGGTCATGAGTCAACAGAAGCCTGGGATTTAATGAGAAACACACTTTTCTCAAAGGAAAAGGACTCAAAGATAAGACTAGATAAGAGAAAGATGATCTCACACTTTACCAGCATAATAGACCTACTCTCAAAGACTATGGCTAAATGCTTCAACATGTTTGTTTACATGGAATTCTTCCCCTGATATGAATTGACCTGAAATTTACTCCTAGATTTTACAGTCTCTGGTCTCTCATCTGTAAGTTCTCCAAGTCTCCTTCCAATGTTAACAGTCAAATTTTGTAACTAATTAAATCAAACTCACAATAACAGTTAAAGCATGTAGACAAAAGAGTTTATATGAAGTCTTGAGAGGACATGAAAAAAATGGGACTTCTGAGTCACCAGTCTCATGGCATTAACTTGATTTTCCAACTAGATACAGTATTGGGTGACTTGACACAGGACCAATACGAAATTAAAAATAAAATTACTTTCTCATTTTCACATTCATTGCTGAATTGATAAAACATTCATTTTTTAAAGACCCATATGGCTGTTGATTTTTCCTGAACACAATTAAGGAACTCAAAGTATCAATACAGTAATTCAGGCTGAATGACAATATAGTCTCATGTGATAACTCTCAAAGGAACTGGTAGTAAAGCCAGAAGTAGCTCTGAGGAGGGGAGCAAACCCATATCTAGCCCTGTGCATGGCACTAGAGAGCTTAAAAATGTCATTTCTCGTCCGGCCTCTGTATTGTCTAATTTACTCTGAAAAAATCATGGGCTAAATCCAGAATTCTCCATAATGCCACCCTGCTAGGTAAGTTTGCCTGTTTTTCAAGCTAAAAGGTGGAGACTTGGCTCATATTGGCCTGCTGTTGGTTTGTATCTGACCCACATCCACTTCAATTTTTAATTTTATTTATTTTTAAGTAGTACCTTGATTTTCCTTTTGGGAGCCATCCTTTCATGACTCAGCCTATGAGATTTAGATGGCTGGTTCCAGGATGGACCCGTGCCTGACTAACGAACAAATTCATACACAATGATCCTTACCTCTGAGTACCTGGAACTCATCTGCCATTGGACTTATTAGTGATGTTATAAATTCCATTTCTTATAAGCCGAAAGAATTCTAGCCCTTTGCTTTCCACACAGGCAAATTCCATTTTGTGTGGCCACAGTGCCACCAGGGTCATGGCATTTTTCATAGACAATGACAGTCCCATACTTGCCTACTGTTTTGATTTTCTGAGTTTTGCTCACAATAAGACACTATTGATTTTGAAGGTCAAAAAGGCTAATTCTTAGAAAAGCATAACAAGAAATGTGCAGCTATGGCAGAGCTAGTAATAAGTGAATGGAATATAGGAACAACCTTTTCTTTTTTCCCTCTAGATAAGGGCAGTGAGTTTTTCTTAGGAGAGAAAAGAAAAGCTTATTCACCTATAAAAGCTCACAACAGTGCTATGAAACAGAAATCAATGGCTGTTGTCATTGTGTACACCATAATCACTGAAGGAGAAAAAGAACACTGAGTGGCAGAGAAATATCTTTCTAGAGCTTTTGACTCTTTCTTAAGAGAAGTAGTATAGCATCATGGCTAAGGTCATAGACTCTGAGGTCAAATTGTCTAGTTCCAAATCCCACCATGGTCATTTACTAACTGTGTCATCTTGAGAAAGTTACTTAACTTCTCTGTGCCTTACTTTCTTCATCTATAAAATGGAAATTAAAGCTATCACATAGGTTTTTGTTTCTTCATTTTAAGGAATTAGTGTATGCAAAATGCTTACAATAGTGCCAGACATATAGTAAACGCTATTTTTGTTCCTGTCAGGGACACTGCGTCATCTTGTTATTATTTTCTCTTTATACTTGTAAATTTCAGGATCACTTCACAGCTCTTACATCTCCATCTTCATCTCACCTAACCTCAGGTCCTCTTCTCAACTTCCATATTTCTGATAGTGGTGCTTCCATTCTCAAGTCTAAATTCAAAACTTTCCAATCACCCCAAGCATTCCTTTCAATGTCATGGATCAAACAGGAGTAACGCTACCAGATTTTAGCCAAGGCCAAACAGACACAAGCCCCAACAGTTGTGTGACTTGGGCAATGTCCCTGTGCTTCTCTTGTCTGTAAAATGGGTAAAATGATTCCTGTTTAGTCTCTGTAGGGCTGAGATGGAGTCAGTTCCAGGCCTTTACAGGCAGTCCTCCTGGTACGGGGCAGCCAAAGTCAATCTGAGTGAGTGGATCCTTAAACTGTGAGCTCCCTTAGCTGTGTGAACCTTCCTGTTTACCACTGTGTCCCCAGTCCTCACCATGTGATTGATTTTGAAATACATATTTGTTAAATAAATGGATAAGTGGTTTAGAGATAAGAACAGCTTCAACTCTAGGGACCACAATTGCCTAATTGTCTCAAGGCAAGTCACTCACAGGATTACCCCCAATAACCACTTCTTCAGTGGGCAAAAAATTAAGCCATATCCATTTCTGGGTCTCTAAAACAGCTAATCCTAGTTACTAAATTGTCCCAAGTGAAAGCTACATTTTATATATTTAAATAATGCTTTCTTTTTCATTTTACTCTGGCAGGATTTTTTTTGTATGTCATGGATTAGTGCTGCATGAAGGCATATGCTTTTTATTTCTATTCACAGAAGTTCATTAAAAAAAGGTAGAAAATCATTAAAATTGCTTGCATAGGGCTAGTAACAAACCACAAAATCTTTTGGGGAGGCATCTTATGAGTGCTTTTATAATAGTTCTTTCCTTACGCAGTTACATTGAGAAAAACAATTTGTCTTAATGTGTTACATTTTCTTTGTTTTTAATTTTTTAGAATAACCTTTGGCAATGCTGACCATAGGTTATATTTATAAAGCTAGATTGAGGCTTCATCAATCACTATACCATGAATTTACATTAGATTTAGAAAATCTTACAAACATTTATAACATTTAGTTTTTCAATAGCTTCTTTGAAGGAAGATCTTGAATAATCTGTTAGTTAAGACATCAATGAAAACAGATTCAGGTTATTTATTAAGGAAATAGTTGCTACAATTTCTCAGAGCAAAATCTTCTTTCCTGTCATATTTGTTGTGTCCTGTCCCTAGTATGTGAATCTGAGAACTAGGCTACTTAGGACTGGAATTAGAAAGGAGTGTGGCGAAAACCTGCATAATCAGATGGGGATTCTTTTTCTTTTTCTTTCCTTTTTTTTTTTAAAGTATTAAGTTTTGATGGCAGATATTTGCTAACTTTGCTCAATTTCTGTAACTCAGAAATCAATCCAGTTTTATTCAGGGCAGGAACTGATGCAACTGGAGGACAGATTTTCTTGGTAAGTTACACAGGAGCACCAAGAGCTGCTGGGGTTTGCTTACTATTATTCCTTGAGGAATTTTGCCTTTAAAGGAGCTCATAGTGTGAGAGAAACCATCTCATGTGTAGCAGCAGCTTGTCATAAAATAACTTGGCCTTGGGACAAAAACAGTTTTGAGGGCAGCACTTTTCCTTAGAAACAAGGCCTCTGGCTTACCAAATAGTTAACAAAAGTAACTCCTTTTGTAAGTCTCAGAACATTTCAAATTCAGTTTGGTTTCATGAAATCCAGAAAAGGGCCTAAGCACAATGCCACAAACCAGGCAAGGAACTACAAATGCTCTCAGGGGGCTCACCGTGAACAGTGAACACCATAAATCCAACTAAGCTGGGCACCTCATTCATCCACTGAACAAATATTAAATGCAGACTCTGTGCTTCTCTGTAAAACATGGAAGAAAAGGCAGGACCCAGAATACCTGATGTTATGTAGTCCCAGTCTGACTTGCTATTGGTTGTTTAGTAAAAGTCCAATGTATGCATAACACAGTAGAATTATTTATTCATCCACCTCACACTTATTCCAGTCTCACCATTGAAGTAAGGGCACAAGAGCAAGAATAAGACCCAATGCCTACCCTCCAGGGTATATAACAATTACTTGGTGTACAGAAATAATGTAAAAACAAGCAAACAGTGTTAATCCAAAAACTTGAAGTACCAGATCACTGCATCCTGACCTCATCCCTTCTGTCACACCTGGTCCAAGTGGTAAAAGCTACTGCAGGTGTGAGTGGTGCTTCTGATTATGAATTGGGGCCCTACAAGTTCAGTTTACCAGGCTTCCCTTCACAGTGTGCCTGCCCTGCTGGTGTCGACCGGGGGCCTGTCCAGGAAGAGTTCAGCTGCCTTTTACAAAAACGGTTTTCAGTCTTCAAGAAGCCTGTGTTGTTGGTCTCTGTGGCAGAAAGCCTAGCTGTGGCCTCCAGCACTGGCTGCATTCCTGATCACAGGCTTCTTGACTCCTGTGCACTCAGCCACATCAGAGCCACATCAGCTTGCTTCTTGGAAGGCAGCTATGCTCACCACTGTACTACCAATGCACAGCTTGCTTCTTGCTTCCTTTCCAGCCCTGGCAAGGAGCCTGCATCGTGCTCCTTATCGCTGTACTGGAGTCCACAGCACATCTGCCTTCAGCTCGGATCTTTCAGCTCTCCTGATGCAGTATTTGGTAGGAAGGGCCTGGTTTGGGTCTCAGACAAGAGGTCTAACCCCACCTTTGCTGTTTACAGAAGCTGTGAGACCTTGGGCAAAATCGTTAACCCTCCCAGACTCTAAGACTTCAACTTCAAAGTGGATAATAGTTTTTAACTTCCTCTGATTATTATGAGAGTTAAATGAGCTAATGCAGGTAAAATGCTCAGCACATAATTGTGCTAGACACACATGAGCTAGCATTTTCTTCTCTTTCAGCCGCTCACTTTAATTAGGCAATCTCCACACTTGTGAGCCTGAACAATTTACCAGCTTAGCTTCTGAATATTCATTCACTGCATTTGTCAGCCAAGCTTCCCAAGGCCCTCCATGAAGAGCCCCAGGTCCCCTGCCTACTGCCAATCAGGGAAGAGGACAATTTCCATTACCAATGGACAACACAGTGTCCATGAAGTAACTGGTTCCCACACACAACTCACGCATCA